TACGCTAGATGGTCTTAGGAAGAGAAAACGATGGGTGAATTGCTCAAGCTTCATAGGTTGCGCTGGTCGGGACATATACTCCGCATGCCGGAAGACCGTCTGCCTCACAGCTCCTTTTTCCCAGGCCTGTGCTGAGTGGAAGTGACCGAGAGGTGGACAGTGTGTGTGACCTGGCAACGAAACATGAAAACTTGGTCGGGTGGGCAATTTCTGCCTTCCTGGAAGGAGACCCTGAGGCTCAAATCACCAGTGGATAACCACGTTGACGGAAATGGCCCAATCGCGCAGTCAATGGTGCTCGTGAATCGAAGCTATCGCCTTTAACTATGGCCAACCACATATGAAATGACAGAAAGAAATCCCGATACCGGCTTCTTAGTCGCTATCGAAAGCATGAACAGGACAGTAGCCGGGGAGGAGTTCTGCTCAAGAAACCAGTACACACATGCTGCTCTGCCGTTTCAATTGTTCAAAATTCTTTTTAACATTTAGCCCGTCTGAACTTTGCCGTTGGGGAAGCTTACTCTTTACAGTGTGCTCTGTTTACTTACGAAACTTATCCGACTGGGGCACGGGAACGAAGGACAAACTCTTCGAATTCTCCCATGACCTATTCGAACGAGCTATATATTTTTGTAGTCTTAAATCCGGTGTGTTAGGCAAATAAACCGCCACCTATTTCTGCTGAAGTCGCGCTATTGACACAAAATTGTTTTTGGAATAGTTTCTTGTAACTAGGCTTCACTTGCTTTCGTGAAACCAGTGACTAGCTTTGGACCAGAATAGTCATTTCTCTTCGTGGTTGATCAACGTAGATTGGCTCGCAGGCACTTCGTCACTAATCGAGGAGCGCGTTCATTGGTGAGCGGTTGACAACGACCGAATTCTGATGGTGATATTCTCTCGAATGATGATGCAACGTCTTGGAGCTAACTACCAAGTTCGGGGAGTAGATCCATGACAGCCTATTCAACAACTAACGAACACACATAAACTACCAGTATTTCGGCATAGTGCAAAATCGTTTTGCTACCTGTTTATCTGCAGGTCCGATCGATTTCGCATGTTCTTGAATAGTAAGCGGATTATATTCGAAATTTTTCCCTATCCTGACCGGAACTACTATCCAGTCGCCATCCTATTCGAAATTAAATGTAACTCCGTTTCGTGGTTGGTACGTACCACGTGCTCGCAACTCCCAATGTTACGTGGAGCGTCAGGTCCCCCCAGAGGCTGAATGTGGCATCCGAAAAAGCGGGCATCATTCACGTTAGCATTCTTTGAGAACGATGAAGCAGCTTCCGAATTGTTTGTTTGGATAACTGACGGTTGGTCTTGTTGTGTAACGCGGGCACTTGCAACAAACAGCCCATACCTTTGTAACCAGAGGATGATCAGTAGGCTTGCTTCAACCGCACGACTCGGTTAACTATCAGTCCATTCCATTCACTGGTAAGCCATGTAGTTAGAACAGGACGGTCCTACTGTCCAATGACTTTATCCCGGTCGTTGCTCTGAAGCGATATATTACCAAATGAAAACGGATGCAAGAGAATGATTGAGGATCTGCTCTCTCTTGTGACCCTACTTTTTTTGGAATTTTCCACATGGGGATGAATCACACAACTGTTCCGCAACTTCGAGTTCCTTTTCTGTGGGGGTGGTCCTCACAATTGATGAAGACTGACGCCTCTGTTACGTACAAAATGCCTTTGAAACACAAAACGCCATACTGAAAGACCGAAATTTGTTTTGTTTGTAGTTTGCGGCTGCTTCGATCCCACCAAGAATGTGGATGCAACAAAAATCCTGATCCACTTACTGGCTATTTCTTAGGGTAGTAAACAACTTCACTGGCGACGGGGATGCACTTTTTCTCCAACTGTGATGTGTTTGGATTTAAGAAAGCCTTTATGGCTCTTTCGCCCTACTGAATCAGTATGGGATCTGCAGATGTAATCCTGACTTTTCTCATACTTGTGTGCGTGGTTTAAACCACTGCTGTGTTTGAGTGTAAGACTAGGGTTCCTTCAGTCAGCCGACCACGTGTCGCTGCCTTTCTGGGTGTGAAACTCATGTTTGGAGCTTTGTGGAGCTTCACTCCATTATCTGGCGACAGAGTAGTGAAAACATAAAGACAAGTTATTTTGTAAAAATAAACGAGAGGTTCACCTGCTGTTGAATCGCTCATCAAACCACTGAGATTAGTTGCCGAAAGTGTAGAAGCCGTGGCGTTACTTTTTAAACAAACCGATTCCTACGCAAGGGCAAGTCTCTCCACTCTGTCGTTCTTCGAATGATGGTATCACGCACGCCACACACGAGATTGCACACGCCGGCATGTTTCGACCAGCCAGGTACAATAAAAACCATCCAACATGGAATGGATCGATCTGTTATTTGCTAGTCATCTCGGTCCAGATCTTGTCAGCTGATTGGTACCAGAACTGAGGACGAACGACTGTGGTCGGTCAGTTTGTGTGTAGGTGTGGTGGAACTACATAGGTGGCATGGAATTTGTACCGGAAGCAGTGGCAAATTCATTCACACCTTGGGCAAAGAAGCCTGGACGTCTGAACATGCACTCGGTGGTTAGGATTTTCATAACGCATGTTTGGAAGGGCACATAAAAGCCTGCCTGCACTCGACAGGCGTTCTGATGCGTGACCCTACAAAGACTAGATTTTTTTTGTCTAGACTTATGGCCACAAGTTATAGATTGCCCGAAGGATGTCCACCAAGGGCCACTACCCAGCCACAAGTTATAGATTGCCCGAAGGATGTCCACCACTGTTATGCTATCGGGGTACAGTCCAGTTCATTTTGAACAATGGGATCTAGATTTTAACTTCAGTCGAACAGGGCAGAAAACAGTTCTTTGAAGAATTGCGGTGTAGTTCTCGAACTATACCTGTCAACGATACATTTGCCCTTATCGTGTGTGTTAGTTCTCTCTCCTGGGTGAGAACACTTCAGACACTGGGCACTAAGCCTCCCGTCTGGGGTATGGAGTTCTCTTTTTTCAAGTTACCCGTTTATCGTCGAAAAATCTGAATCGCCTTTTCAGTGTGTCCAGAGTTGGTTTCCACATTCTTCTTTCGTTCGTGAAATTTGTTCGCCTTATAAACTTTGTTTCATCTCAGAAATGACTTGCTAAACAAACTGTGTGAGAAATTCGCACGCCGTTCATAAGACTCGTCACATTGCTTTTTTACTGTCACTCCTACCAGTTTGATTCAGTTCATCTTTATCGGCTTCACCTTCTTCGGATTTCTATTTGCTTTGATCACCTTCGTACTCTTTATCTGTAGGTTAAATTGGCATATTTCCACAAACTCGTTTAAGGTGGGTTAGCTGCCCAACGGCGCTTGACTAGATTTTCTGGCTATCGTTATCTCGATACTACACGTTCATAGCAAATTCTCCTCAGTTTTGGCCTATTTCTGCTCTGTTGAAGGACCTTGTAGGTGTCGTGTGTTTCCACATGGCCAGCATCGGCTTTCCTGGTTGGCGCCCAGGTTATCAGCTCGATTGGCGCGATTGCGAACAAGCTGATGTTAATGGAGATATATGTTTCATTCAGAGGCACATGCACATATTGCATGTGCATGTTCTGAAAACAACCTTCTGCGACATTAGCAATAGTGGCTTGATCACACACGCATCATGATCATATCTATTAGTCAACTGACATAAACTCTAGCTGAACCACGTGTAAATTGGCACGAATGCATGAAACTGATATTGTGAAAACGTTGAGTGGCGTCCATTTTCCAGGATAAGTATCCGTGCAATTGGCCAGAAACTACGAAATGTCGTTGACAGTCATACTGATTGTCTGAGTGAGCCCCGGTAAATGGGGTCCCTTCCCTATCCGGTCTCCTCTTCATTCCATCTGAGAGCTTTCTGGCATGAAGGACTTGTGGTTGATTAGCAGCCATCGTGTTAACTCTAACTTTGCGTCCATGATTATGAAATCGTTGATAGTGTTAAAGGCCTCCAAGTGAAATCTCAGCTCAGAAGATGAAAATTGGGACATCCCATGGGTGACGGCATGTCAGTATGATTGTGTCCAGAACACCACACCTATCTCAGCTCCTACTCCGAAGGACAAAGTTCCCTTGGGAAGGGGCCGTCTATACTGGTACTGTCCCTAGTCATTTCCTGTGTATTTTGAAGCCGTTTGAATAGCAGAGTCCACAGAGTCACTCCAATCTCGTTTGAACAAGTCACCTCCTGTTCCGGTGCAGTTATTCTGGTTAGCCCATACCAAGGTGGAGTGAGGACTGGACTCGAGTTTAACCCTTATTAGGGCAAACTTGTTCGCATTTGAGCAATAAGAATGGTTTGCCTAGGCTTCGAACGATGACCAAGTAACCGTCATTGTTGTCTCGATAGTTTGGTCCGCTTTTGAGAAATTCCCAGTCAAGTAGAGTCGTGGACGCTTGGAACCTGACGAACACATTCGGACTGCATTTGTATGTTTACAGGATGTGTAGATTTCACATTCACTAGTATCATTTGGTCCAGGACAGCTCCTGGATCGTCGTTCCAGGCGTCTGTCAAGCCGACCACAACGCTCCCCCTGTTCAGGTGAGATTTATAATTTCCACCTCACCTCTGAAGACAACAAAGCAGTAATCCAAAATCAGGTGCGGACTGCGCACATTACGGTCTGACGATCTGCTGAATTAACTTCGCCATCTTTGTAACGTACTACTCTTAAGGTTGCTGGAAATCCGTCGACAGCAACCTTATGAGTAGTAGTACATCACAAAGACATACATGTATCGCGATATCTCAAATAGCGTAGCGAGTGGAACATGAGGCGGCCTGGTGCAGCACATTCAGTTGCCTGAAAACATCACAGACGAGAGATTCAGCTGGATTCCAGATGAGTCTCTCAAAAAATCAAATTAGTTCGCAAATGAGTGTATATCTGCTGACTTCGCCATGTTTGGCTCTATATTTATTTCGTTTATTTCTTTTCTCATCTTCAGGCTCAGCACGCGTTTGCAATCATTGCAAAAGGAAGAAGCCGATCAGTTGGAATTTATCGAACGGTTCCTTATGGGAAGATGAGTGAGGTTTGAATGTGTGTCTTTGTACAGCAGAACAGAAATGCAATTCAGATAAGATCTTGAGTTATGATGTTCATCGACACTAGGTTGGGCGTAACACTCGTTTTCCACGGTTCAGTGAAATGGAGTCTTGTGATGAGGGTAAACTCCTCTGGATCGACTGTTTGAACACTTGTTTCTCAGTTCACTTTATATTCTGCGTGAGTAGTAGTTCGAAAGACACAGTTACAGTGGGTTAAGAGTAAGACACTGAAGTCAACCTATTCTTGCATTTCCAACTGTATAAGTCCCAATCTTTCCGAATTCCACTGACATCTACTTAAGCTCGCTGGAAGCAATTTCGGTAAAAAAAACCGTTCAATGGCTGTCGTTGCTTGGACGTTCAGCCCCAAGGCTGGTTACCTCAGAACAGCAACTCAAGTGTTCCTACAAGCGTGCTGTGTACTGAGCCATGTGAGGACAGTCTTGATTGTTCGTACAATACAATAAAAGTCCTAAACTGTCCCAGGGGGCCTGGTGCTTCCAGTAAATTAAATTTTTGTGCCTTGTGTCTTCAAGACTTTATTCGAAATCTAACTGTACACATGCACTTTAAGTGTCATCTCAATCATTTGGACAGTTTGCGAAATGCGTGACACACGTTCATCATCCTTATACCATGTCATCATCATCATCATCATCGACAGCATCATCGACATCAGTGTTCCACACCGATGCTTCAGTGCCGTACAACTTTGATTTATTTGAAAGCCTTATTGTAATGAAAAGAATAAAGGTGGATGTGGAAAGGACTTAGTGCTGGCTTACCACAATCATTCCGAGGTGCCTACACTTCCAGACATTCACTCAGGCAATCTGGATAGAAACTGACAACAAGAACGCCACTGACATCAGCTGGCAGCCAACCAGGCACAGTGAGGATCACGCGATCCCCATCCTGGAAGGCGAGTAGCACCGACAGCTCCCAAGTGTTTCGTGATCCCCTTCATACTCCTCTGCCAAGTTAAGGGTTGGCTCCTGAAAACAGCCAATCCAGAGAACAGGTGAATGCCTGACCCGTCTGTACCAGACTGCAGCTGATTCGCCACAGATCGGCCCCTGCAGGACTAAACCCGTTTTATGTTCGCCCTGCAGAAACTAGTCTGTCACATGCTACTATTCTAATGTACTGATAATGGAGAGACCAGATGTAACAGACGCACTTAGTCTAAAGGCATTTTCACGTGCACACAGCCTATTATGAAGCGTCTAGCGCCTAGCCTGGTTGATGGAATACACCGATGAGTCTCAGATCGATCTACCACCAGTAAGTAAGCAGGCCTAAAATACGATCCGATTTTCTGGTAACTTCAGTGGTGGCTGGATGCTCTTGAGTGAATGAGATCCAACCAACCACTGGTCAGATATCCGAGTAGAACGTCATAGGATGAAATATTTCCCAACAGAATACTCACTCTCCTGGGCATATTCAGACTGCATTTTTGGATTATGATAGCGATGGCCTTTTGCGGGACACTGCCAGGTTTCCAAAGCCTTGAAAGGAGAAGTTGAGATGAAAAGGCCGAGTTCGAACCCTGGATCTTCAGGTCAGTAAATTCACGCTCTGACCACTGAGCCATCTAGCCCTCTACTCATGAAGAACAGTAACGCGGCCGTCTTTGACGTTTTGAAAATGACATGACTTCACCACGGCACTATTCCGCTTGCGAAAGTACGCCAGAGAAGAAGACTGTTATAAGAACAGTGTCATTATCATCATCGTCATCATCATTGTTAGCTGTAATAACCGCGTACTTGTCGTACCGTGGTTGTAGCTGCCACAGTTCCGTTTACCGATGATTCGGGGAGGTGGGGTAGGTAGCTGTGCATCGGAGGCTGGAGCTGATAAATTAGTGCTTAAATACAGCAGTTTCAGTGGACTGCTAAGTGGGGGGTTGGGAAGGAAGCTATGCATTGAAGGCATGGCGCCACTGAGGATGCGACTGGGCTATGTCTGACAATGTCTCCAACCATTGATGTGGCCCGTCTCGGGGTCCCCATCCAGAAAGACGGCAGTGACCAGTGTGGCTGAGTTGGCTGGTAATGGCTTTCCCACTTTGCTGCCAAGTCATTGTTTGACCGCCTCTGGTTCGTTTCCACCCCTCACGTGGTTGTGCGAAAAGATCCCTTCGAGGAATTCGGTCGACTGTCATACGCATCTCGTGGCCAAGCCAGCACAACCCATGCAGTTTAATCGGTTCATCTATCGAAGGTGAGTTATTTCTCCCGAATACCATTCGACATACTTCAGCATTGCTAATCCGGTGTTCCCACCAGACTCGGGCAATCATCTGAAGACATCGATGGTCAAACACTGAAAGTCTTTTGACGTCCTCGGCCCGCGGCAGCCAGGTTCGTAGCAGCATAAACGGGAATAGATTGCCCGGTGAAAGTAAATCGCAAAAACTCAGCAAGCACGACAGCATCTTCCTAAAAAACTCTGCCGATACTCAACTAGTGTTGCGTTATCCAATCAAGTGTACGTCATTTTGTTATCCACAATGAACTCTGTTTGCTCAGAGGGGATTAGCAACAAACGAGACCCTCGGTTGTCGGTTTCTGTAATAGGAATAGATATTATGTTGTGGACAGTACACTGAGAGGCCATCCCTTTCTCTGCACGGCGCGTCGATGGCCGTTGATATTTTTATCTCATCAAAACGCTCCTGAATAATCCACATTCAAAGTCGGGGGCCCTAACTGAAAGTTGGAGTTCTACTGGAATCTAATCCAGCGGTAAATTAATATTGAAAGAACACATCCTTTCGCCGGAAAGCTCCGTTTTTCGGAGGACTGAGGTGACCAAATGCCAGGCCACTGAGAACCTGTCCTGCCAGGTTCGACAACAGGTTACACGCAACTACCCGTTTACGGTTTCCATCAAACTCTGTCAGTGAAAGGGTTTGATCCCAGGGACCAGTAAACATAAATAAAGTGAAGAGTGTGACGTGATTCAAATGAGATCATCAATCCCACATAGATTACGGATAGACAAGACGACAAATGAAGGTGCAGTTGGGGATAAGACAGTTGTATAAAATAATCAAGTGGCGATTCAGCGTCAAATGCATTTAAACACACAGCACTTCCTAAACAGCCAGGCTGGATAATATGGCCAAAATGAAGTACTGTGTCTCGCAGAATGGCTCCCATTACAAAGGGCTAGGTGGTTTCAAAAATGCAGTTCCATCTCTGCTTATTTCAGTTTTCCGACTGTCTAAATGCGTACTGCTAGGGACAAAATTGTCCTGAATTTATATGAACCCTTGGGCAGTTTCCAACAGAGATTTCGTCTTGTGAGTGAAGCCAATCTATGCTGATCTATCCCGGGAAGCACCGTACACCTGTTTCATCCTTGCTGAAAACCATCAGTAGTGAGCATCTTGCAAAGTTCAGAGTTTTGATTCTCCGACCTAACGGTTGAACACTCAACTGTGCGGCCACGAGTGGCCCATAACTAGTTCTCAATTAGACAGGACATAGCACCACTCATCCGTCAGTCGCGGGAACCAAATCACTCGGTCACATCGATTGGCCGTTCGAGTGATGACTTCTCAAATGGAAGTCTCAGTTATCAGCTGTTTATTGATTGGATTTATCGGCTTGTGTCCCCTGACTTATGTGGAGGCTGCAAGTTGTGCTGCAAATGTGCAACTATTTTCAATCCATATAAATACCATCTGCGGGCGGCAAGTAATCCATGTGGCCCAATCAAAGACTCATTTTTTTATAATTAGCAACCTAATAAATAGTCGCTTATGTCAATGGAACCACAGGAACAGCTTCATATTCGATGTAATCAGAGGTCAAAAAAAAAAACAAATAACACGGTAAAAATCTCCATAAACATTGCAGTGTTCTTTGTGTGTCGTATCTCTACTGCATAAAGTGTCCCAAGATTCACCACTGCTCACGTGATCTGGGCTGAGTCGTCTAAGGACTGAAGTCATTTGACGAAAAGCGGCGTGTTTTCCGACCTAATTTATAGTGACAAACCCGAGCTGTTTAGCGTTACAGTTAACCGATACACACAAGAAAAACTGCTCTGGAAGATTTCCACATGAGGCAAATATTTCATAAGCTTCCAGTGGCTTTTTCCTTCTTCCTGATCAAAGAATGCACTACTTTGTCTATCGCCACTGTCAAACCGTCCACCACATTGGTTTCCCATCTAGAGAAAACTTTCAGCGGTTGAAACCAGCTTCGAATTAACAAAATTATCCATTGATTAGCCGTGTTGTTCGCAGTGGATAGCTGACATTCCAGAGTAAAAGAGAGCAAGCAGCTGACCAGATTTCTCTGTTAGGCTAACCTCCTTAATAGTAAGGACTATGTTAGAGTGACTGCTGATTGACATGTTGGGTGACCGAAACTGGTCTGTGAAATAGGAGAAGGTCGCTTGATATAAGTGTAGCGTTTGATCGATTGGTACGTTTTGGAGAACAATGCGCGTGCTTTTATTCATTTAGTAAGCTATCTATATGGCTTTGGTTCGCCACAATTTCACTAAGTTGAGTTTGAATTTTCGCATCTAACAAAATATCCAATTGTATTTCTTAACCTAGAAGAGCCTAGAAGATGCTGAATAATGTAGCAACAAATAGGGGAACGCCAGATCTCCCACTAGGTTGTAGCTAACCGGAAGCAGTATTACGATATCATCAAAAAGGGACCTCCTTCAGGGGAATCATACATCGCTTCACGTGAAACCCAAGCAAAGCCTTTGATTCGTCCAACTCTTTCTAAAGTGTCCCAGTTGATACCACTGGCAGGTTGGGATATCCTGCCAGCATCCGTCATGAAAAATAAACGAATCGGTCGCACTGTTAACCCACCGTCGATCTTCTCTTGGAAATGTCTTACCCGATGCCACCGGTAGATCTGAGTCACTGTCATTCGAGCTCTGGGACTGCCCACTTTTGATGTGCCAATTAGAAAACACTTCCGGTTCATTGTACAGAAGTAACACACTATCCAGTCCTCGACCGGTTTCGCCTATCTTGGGGCTCATCAGTTAGGAGCACTGCTCAATTTTGCCGCCACCTTATGTTCTGCTTGAAACCACATAGCACGAAATTAGCGAGCGTACCAATTTGTGCTTCATGGGAGAGTCACCTGGAAACCAGTTGAATCTCTCGTCCTATGATGTCCTTCTGCAATACTATCATACTATCAATACTATCATAATATCATACCAACTGAAACATGAGGCGGCCTTGTGCAACGCATTCAGTTGAAGCAGAACAGGATATTCAGTAAGGACTCACATAAGTCTCCTGTGAAAACCAAACTGGTTTTCGCCAACATCCTGTTCATCTTTATTGTCTGCATTCACTGGGAACGGACTACTCTTTCAAATGACTCGCTCATCACCAACCATAGGATTTCAAAGGGGACAACTTAATATAACATGTTCTGTGGTCGAGAAATACACTCATTTGCAAATCAATTCGGTTTTCACGAGAGACTCAAGTGAACCTCTCGTTTATTATGTTCTTCAACTAAATGTGCTGCACACAGGCCGTCTCGTATTTCAGTTGGCACTATATTCGAGGTATCGCAGTATATTTTCATAAAGGAAACTACTCACAAGGTTGCTGAAAACTCTTCGACAACGCACGACCGGTTTCACCCTTCTTGGGGCTCATCAGGTAGACGTAGTCCCCGAGTTTTCATCTACCTTAAGTTTTACTTGAACCCAAAGTTGACTGTGTTCGATAAATATACTCACTTGCAAATCAATTTGTTCGTGGGCTTTTGAAGAGTGTTCAGCAACCTTGTGAGTAGTTTCCTTCATGTTCTGTGGTCATTGAGTCGAAAGCCAGGAGGAATCATTGGGACCCATCATCAGCGGGTCGGACAACAACGGTCTGCTCTTGCCATCACCCGCTACATATAAGGTTGCTGAAAAAC